TTGCTTGCTTTTCTCGCGCTTCTAGCCTTCTTACACCATTTGCAGACTCTACCTCCCCCTCCACCCCTCTCATTACCCAAACGTCCATAGCAGGAGTTTTCCCTCTGATGAAGCCGTGTAATGGTGGCTAACGGCAGAAAAGCGCTTCAGGGCTTGCCACTACCCTCCCTGCTTTGGTTGTCGAGGCCATCTCCCATATTATGTGGAGACGTCTCTGGGAGTGCAGCCGGTCTACTTCTCTCTCTCTCCCCCCATTCCACTCCTGCTGCCCCCGCTTGCTGTCCTAATTGGTGAACTTGGAATTGATTCAGATCGACGACCAACTACGGTGCTTTCTCGGTATCTGTGTGTTTCGAACGTGTGGATTCCATACCTCCTCACTACAATATGTATGGCTGCTTCTTTGTGTGCTTCAAATTTTTTTCTTTGTTTAATTCTTTTTTCTTTTTTTTTTCTTCGGTTTTTAATTTTTTTTTCTTTTTTTCTTTTCTTCCCTCTTTTTTATCTTCACTTCGGCTGGTCACGAACGATTGTAACACCACTCGGTGGACCATGGGGTCAAGCACGATGGATGGTACTACCACCGTTCGTTTAACCATAATATTCCAAATTCAACGACTTCTCTATATTTGTGTAGATTTCATGTTTACTCGTAATAGCATGTATGATTTTTTTGCACACATGGAATTTCGCCTCTTCTGAGGTCTATATTTGTTCTCATCCCGTTTGATAACTGATCACGAACAGTTGTAACACCACTCGACTGACAGTGGGGTTGGGCACGATGTGTGGTACTACCGCCGCTCGTAAAAATATAGAAGATGTCCTCTCAATATCTGGTTTGCGAATGCATGGTTTGCATATCTTGTCGCAATAGCATGTATGATCTCTTTATGCGCATCCAGAATCTCGCCTTTCTCAAGACCCATCTTTGCTCGGATCCCTTCTGGTAAATGGTCACGAACGATTGTAACACCACTGTGCTGACCGAAGGGCCGAGCTCGAGGGTTGTTACTACCTCCGTTCGATTAGCCACACCAACTCAGGAATTACGATCAAGGATAAGATCCTTTTCTGTGCAACGGCTGATTGAAGGATAGAGATTTCCTTGCTTGTTTCTGCATGTGTTGTATTACTAGCTACTACCACAATAGATGGCCTATGAGATGTTCCGTATTTATGACCAGTCTTGACTGCTTACTTAAGTTCTCGTAATAATCGATCACATACGTAAAATAAGCCATCGATTCGTGTTCAAGTGCACTTTACACCAATGATGGGTCATAAATTTCTTTTTGAGCCCCTTTCAAAAGTACTTAGAAGATTAGGAACCTATAGATACCAACACTTCCAAGATTTGCCCTTGTTTTCCACGCATAGGTGCAAATTTTTTTTCTCCTTCTTTTTCTGGTTCTTTTTCTCCCTTCCCTTTTACCCGATTGGGTGACTGATTTACATAATCCGTAAAAGGTCTCAGCAGCTATCAAGATCTTTCTATCCCTATTCTGAATAGATTCCGCATTGAGGTGGTTATGCCTTTTTATTTCTTCTTCGTTCTTCTTTTTCTTTTTTCTTTTTTCTTTTTTTGTATTCGGAACACCGGGTGGATAGCGCCTCTTGGTCGAAAGATTGAGTGCAGAAGTACCGAAAAATACCGCCCCTAGGTTTCCCGAACTGATTCCTCTTGTATTCGGATCAGAATGGCTTGTGAAAAACCCTGTTTCCGCTTGACAAGTAAAATGGGGGTTACGCCGAAATATTATATCGGGGCTTGATCGTGGTATGGGTTCCGTACCACGCTTCGACATGATGTTTCACAGCATGACGTAACGTTACACACACACACACACACACACACACACACACACACACACACACTCTCCCCCCCCCCCTTCCTTTCGTAATCCACATCTCTTTCCTCTCCTCCCCTCCCTCGATTTCCGGGCCACTCAGAATCGACGCGCAATCAGAAAGAAAATACGTCACTCACCTTTTTCCTTTGGTTCCATCTCAATTTCCGTTGCCGATGTGGTGTAAGTCCAGCTTCACTTACCACCGGAGGGCTGTGGCTTCTGGTGGCTGACCTTCTCCACCAGGACGTGATGACGTCCCAGGGCCCCAAGAGAGGGTCAAGTTCTCGCCCGCCTATCCCTCTTCTCTTCTTGTTGCCTTGAAAACGCGGATCCTCGTTCTCCGAAGTATCATGTTATCAGCCCGCTGTCATGGCCTACAACACCCTATGCGGGCCTCACGAAGAGTCGGCACCACCGCCGTCACTAACCCGTGATCTCCTCCCACTATCGTCCCCCTCTCTTGTTCTTTCCTCCTCCATAATGGTCGTAGATAACAAAGGTTAACGACCAGAGTTTCTTAATCCTTGCAAGCGGGACTTCGCCCCGGTTGAAGTTAAGTCGCCGTAGCCTGGGCCACACAGAATCTACAAAGTCCTATCACACAGTCCTGCCTTTTCACTTTTCGAGCACAGTGTAAGCTACTACAGTCCAAACCAGGCTCTCACAAAAAGACGTCAAAATTTCCAACTCTGGTCGAACCCCATCTGGAGTTGTAAGTGACAGCAGGTCTGGTAAAAGGCCACAATCCATGAAGAACAATTTGAGTGCTTACCTGAGAAAAGCTGTTGCTTCGAAATCGCAGTGCCCAGTCTGTAGAGATTACCTGCTTGATGCCATACTTGAGCTTAGCATGGCATGTACCATAATTGGCAAAGGGGGCGGGGGATAAGCGCCCCCTCTCTCCATACTGCGGTGTTCCACGGAGACCAAAGGGTCAACAAGGTGTTCTGCAGTGACCTAAGAGTGAATAAAATGGCTCTCCTCATCGTCTCCTCGCGATAAAACAGAAAAACTTGACAGGCCTGCCTGACCACCATTCTACTGACAAGCTCGTCCCAGCAGCAGAAACTGATTTTGAGAATAATCGGTACATTTTTGGGCCGGCTCTCGACATTCAGTGGAAGGATTATGAGAGTCAGGCCCTCTCGGCCTCTCCTGGTAGTCCCCACCAGTGCCATGAGAGGCCTGTGGCCGCTCTGCAGCTCCCTGGGTATAGTTTCTATAAGTTTTTGTTTAAGCTCCCTGGCTATGTTTTTTTTTTTGTAAGTTCGATTCTCTAGGCCTGGACAGTTAGCTATAGTCATATAGTAAATTAAGAATGATTCGGTTTACTTGACATGGGCAGTTTTGTTTGGGTAGTTTGGATATATTTTTGGGAAAGTTTGTCTGGCACCCCTGTATTTTCCATTATTTTGCACGACCGATTTACCCTGCCGCGCCCCTGGGCCTGAAAATCTTTTAGGCAGGCCCCTGCCGGTAGTGGGCACAACTTTCGATGGCGCCCTCCCTGGACTGGCAGTCCCATTACCATCGGGCCCTGCCCCATATGCCTTCATGAGAGTAGTCATCTTTCTCTAATGCCCCCGCAGCAGTGAGAAACCACAAATTTG